ATTTCAGCGTATGTTACGTTTGGTGTGCCCAGTTTTGCAAAGATAAAGATACAATCATTTACAAACGTTCTGTTATCTTCCTAATATCAAACTAACACAAGAACTATCAAACAGAACTTGATGCTGTCAGGGCCTGAACAAGATCGAGAAGAGCAATAACAGCCGCGGCAGAATATATGAATTTACATTAATAACTCCGCAGCTTTCCCTATCTCCCTTCGTCATCTTCCGTTTCCCTCGGTGACAAAATGAACTAACTGCACATTTATGTCACAGAGATTGATATCATCCATAAAAACACACACAGTAATTTCCCCCAGTGACATCCAACACATTTATTACAAAGTGTTGGAACTTGATCTTAAGCCACAGTTTGTGAGATTTTGTCTTTTTTCACATGCATTATTTTTGTGTTGATTTATACTGTAGTGTGAGGTCTTGGTAAAGTAGGATTCTTACAGTTTTTCTCAGTCGCTTTGGTGCATTTTTCACACCACTCTTCACATTTGCAAAACTGTTGGTGCATTTCTCAGAACAATTAGTTCAACCTGCAAAACCTTGTGGATAACCTGCAAAAGTGCGTCACTTTCACAAAATTAAAAGTTAATTCCTCAAAAGCAAGTCTTCATGTCAATGAAACTGTCTGTGTCGTCAAAATAATAAGTCCTAACAACATTGAGTATGAACAACACCATCACATGACTTAGTCACGTTTTCATTGTGAAAGTTTTCTCTCTGTGTGTTTTTAATGTAAAAAAGTCAGATCTCGGTGACACTTGAGCACGGCTATGAGCACACTACATACGACCTATACGCCATTTACTGTAAAAACTACAGTAAAGTTACACAAAGACTGTATTTAGAGAGGTAACTGACATATATGTATGTATGTATGTGTGTATGTATGCACTGTATGTATGTATGTGTACTGTATGTATGTCTCTATGTATGTATGCATGTATGTGTGTATGTACTGTATGTACATGTCTGTGTACTGTATGTATGTATGTATGTCTGTGTACTGTATGTATGTATGTATGTATGTATGTATGTATGTGTACTGTATGTATTTCACATATTTGCTGCAAATGCTCTTTGCAATTCTACAGCATTGTGCAACAAAAATACAGTCACATACAAGTACATACATAGAACAAACATACAAGAAATATCATTATGGCAGAACTGTGAAAAATGTAAACAATAATAAACACACCTCCTCATGAGTAAAGCTGAAATTCACTTGAGAGACATTGTTAAATTTAGAAAAGATTTACAGGGAAAAAAAGATAAAATCAATGTATGAAATTAGCTTGACAAATATGATTTTGAGAACTAGTTCAACAATTTTGTATGTGATGACCAAAGCGATGAAATGAGGACTTTCGTTTTATAGTGAATGACTATTTAGAAGTCATAAGTATGTTTCATTTTGACTGACAGAACAGAAGCAAATGATTATGTTAAAAAACATCAGAGAATTGTATGAAAGTAACTGATACATGTCCAAAAGCATTTGTAAATTGTTCATAGGAATGAGAAACTGCCATGATGATGTGCACCAATGACTCAATGTTGTGGAGGTTGAACTAATAGTTTTGAGAAGTTTAAGTTTGATTCGAGAAATGCACCAAAGCGATTGAGAAAAACTGTAAAAAAACTGTAAAACCACCATTGTTGTAAGATTGCACTCTTACTTCACACTGCTTTCTGTCTCCTGGGATTGTGAAGTGAATGTAAAGTGCCTTTAAGCGCTTGTTTATGTTGAGTTTACACAAAGAGCTCAGGTTGTTAGATAAATAGATAGATAGATAGATAGATGGATAGTTAGATAGATAGATAGATAGATGGACAGATAGATAGATGGATAGATAGATACTTAGATAGATACTTAGATAGATAGATAGATAGATAGATACTTAGATAGATAGTTAGATAGATAGATAGATAGATAGTTAGATAGATAGTTAGATAGATAGATAGATAGATAGTTAGATAGATAGTTAGATAGATAGTTAGATAGATAGATAGATAGATAGATAGATAGATAGATAGATAGATAGATAGATAGATAGATAGATAGATAGATAGATAGATAGATAGATAGTTAGATAGATAGTTAGATAGATAGATAGATAGATAGATAGATAGATAGATAGATAGTTAGATAGATAGTTAGATAGTTAGATAGATAGATAGATAGATAGATAGATGGATGGATAGATAGATAGATAGATAGATAGATAGATAGTTAGATAGATAGATAGATAGATAGATAGATAGATAGATAGATAGATAGATAGATAGATAGATAGATAGATAGATAGATAGATAGATAGATAGATAGATAGATAGATAGATAGATAGATAGATACTTTATTGATCCCCGTAGGAGTAATTCAGGATAGGTTGTTGACTTAAGAAGGAATTAGTTTTCGGTTAGCACTCTCGCTTCTCAACAAGAAGGTCCTGGGTTCCAATCCCGGTCGAGACAGGGGCTTTCTGAGAGGAGTTTGCACGGTCTCCTTGTGTCTGCGTAGGTTTCCTCTGTGTGCTCCGGTTTCCCCTACCACTAAAAACATGCACAGAAGGTCTGAATGTAATGAGTGAGTGAATGGTGTTGGTCGAGGGCTTTGATGCTCCAGTGTGTGACGAGTGTGGAGAGAATGGAACAATATCTGAACTCTGAATATTGTAAAACGCTTTGGGTGACCTTGGTCTGTAAAAATATGCAATATAAATCCACATTTCTGTCTTAGTTTTGTAATTCATTCGGTAATGTAGACCATTTTCTTGTGTTTAAAAAATAATAAGAACTGTTTTTTTGGACACAAGTACGCTTTACAATGCACTATTCATTCACTCTGTACATCTCGGTGATAAACTACAAATGTAGCCACAGAGACTCATTATGTCAGATGTCTCTGTTGGCAGAGGTCTCCCATCACAGTACTAACCAGCCTTTGCCCTGCTTGGTTTCTGAGGTCTGCCGGGATCAGGTTTTCACAGGTAGGTGGCACCACTACACGACAACGGTCTGTCGTGAAAAAATAGTAATGCAGAAGAAGTATATTTAGAATAAGTTCAAACTGAAAGACTTGTATTGTCTCCAGAGGAATGTTTGGATTTTCCAACATGGATTTGTTTGTTTGTTTTGCACATTACGAATAAACACACAATCCAATACTTCACTTCTCATATTCTGTGTTCACGTCACTCGTTGATGGATCCTTATCCCAGATCCACCTCTGTCCCTGCTGTCCCTGCTGTCCCTGCTGTCCCACTCTGTCCCTAAGATCCTGTGTCCCTGTGTCTCGTGTTTGTTGGGGATAGAGCCAAATATTGTCATTCTAACCCAGAGTTTTTTCAGGATCCAAAAAAATAGATAAAACAGCATTATGAGCTGAGGTGCTTTTCAATCAATCAATCAAATTTTATTTATAAAGCGCTTTTCATACAAAAAGTGTAACACAAAGTGCTTTACAGTTTAGTTAAAAACAATCCAACATGCCCAGCCCTAAACCCTCCTCCCCACAGACCCCCCAAAACCACATTTATAATTATATATACAACCACATGCGTATACACACACACACACACATACACACACACACACACATATACACACACACAGACACATATACACACACACACACATACACAAGTATAAAGTCATATCAGGTAAAATAGGTAAAACAACTAGAAATGGTACAATGGCTGAAGCCATTGTGAGTGGCTGCATAGATGTTGGAAGGGTTAGAGATGAAGAAGGAAGAGGAAGGGGAAGAAGAAGGAAGAATAAGAAAGAAAGGGGAAGAGGAGGAAAGAAGAAGAAGGGGAAGAAGGGGAATAAGAAGAAGAAGAGGAAGAAGGGGAAGAAGGGGAAGAAGAGGAAGAAGGGGAAGAAGGGGAAGAAGGGGAAGAAGAGGAAGAAGGGGAAGTAGTGAAGAAGATGAAGTAAGAATAATGTGTTGTAAAGTTCTGAATGTGTTGTAAAGTGCTGTAATTGTTGTGAGGTGCTGAATGTGTTGGAAGGTGTTGAAAGGAGCTGTATGTGTCATAAGGTGCTGTAAGTGTTGTAAAGTGCTAAATGTGTTGTAAAGTGCTAAATGTGGTGTAAAGTGCTGAATGTGTTGTAAGGTGTTGAATTTGTTGTAAAGTGCTAAATGTGTTTTAAGGTGTTGAATGTGTTGTAAAGTGCTAAATGTGTTTAATTTGTTGTAAAGTGCTAAATGTGTTGTAAGGTGTTGAATTTGTTTTAAAGTGCTAAATGTGTTGTAAGGTGTTGAATTTGTTGTAAAGTGCTAAATGTGTTGTAAGGTGTTGCATTTGTTGTAAAGTGCTAAATGTGTTTTAAGGTGTTGAATTTGTGTTAAAGTGCTAAATGTGTTGTAAGGTGTTGAATGTGTTGTAAAGTTCTAAATGTGTTGAATTTGTGTTAAAGTGCTAAATGTGTTTTGTATGGTGTTGAATGTGTTGTAAAGTGCTAAATGTGTTGAATTTGTTGTAAGGTGCTAAATGTGTTGTAAGGTGTTGAATTTGTTGTAAGGTGCTGAATGTGTTCTAAGGTGTTGAATTTGTTGTAAAGTGCAAAATGTGTTGAATTTGTTTTAAAGTGCTAAATGTGTTGTAAGGTGTTGAATTTGTTGTAAGGTGCTAAATGTGTTGTAAGGTGCTGTAAGTGTTGTAAGATGCTGTAATGTATTGTATCTGTGGTAATGAATTGTTAGTGTGGTAATGTGTTGTATGGGGAGTAATCTGTTGTACTGGTCCAATGTAAGTCTATGGGAAAAAGTGCTTGAACTTTTGTTAATATCTGAAAAAGTGCTAAAGGTGGAAGTGTGAAAAGTAATAGCAATAATGAGACGGTGAAGCCGGTCGTAACGATGTATAATTTGTTGAATTTGGTGAAAGCGTTGAAGAGTTGAAAAGTGCCAAAATCTGGCGGAAGTGGAAGAAGAAGAAGAAGAAGAAGAAGAAGAAGAACTAGAAATGGTACAATGGCTGAAGCCATTGTGAGTGGCTGCATAGATGTTGGAAGGGTTAGGGATGAAGAAGGAAGAAGAAGGAAGAAGAAAGAAAAGGGAAGAAGAGGAAAGACGAAGAACGAAGAGGAGGAGGAAGAAGAAGAAGGGGAAGAAGGAGAAGAAGAGGAAGAAGGGGAAGAAGAGGAAAAGGGGAAGAAGAGGAAGAAGAGGAAGAAGGGGAAGAAGAGGAAAAAGGGGAAGAAGAGGAAGAAGAGCAAGAAGAGGAAAAAGGGGAAGAAGAGGAAGAAGAGGAAGAAGGGGAAGAAGAGGAAGAAGGGGAAGAAGAGGAAAAAGGGAAAGAAGAGGAAGAACAGGAAGAAGAGGAAGAAGGGGAAGAAGAGGAAGAAGAGGAAGAAGGGGAAGAAGAGGAAGAAGGGGAAGAACAGGAAGATGAGGAAGAAGAGGAAGAAGGGGAAGAAGGGAAAGAAGAGGAAGAAGGGGAAGAAGAGGAAGAACAGGAAGAAGAGGAAGAAGGGGAAGAAGAGGAAGAAGAGGAAGAAGGGGAAGAAGAGGAAGAAGGGGAAGAACAGGAAGATGAGGAAGAAGAGGAAGAAGAGGAAGAAGGGGAAGAAGAGGAAGAAGTAAGAAGAATGTGTTGTAAGGGACTGAAAGTGTTGTAAAGTGCTAAATACGTTGTAAAGTGCTAAATGTGTTGAAAGGTGTTGAATTTGTTGTAAAGTGCTAAATGTGTTGTAAGGTGTTGAATTTGTTGTAAAGTGCTAAATGTGTTGTAAAGTGCTAAATGTGTTGTAAGGTATTGAATTTGTTTTAAGGTGTTGAATGTGTTGTAAAATGCTAAATGTGTTGAATTTGTTGTAAAGTGCTAAATGTGTTGTAAGGTGTTGAATGTGTTGTAAAGTGCTAAATGTGTTGTACAGTGTTGAATTTGTTGTAAGGTGCTGAATGTGTTGTAAGGTGTTGAATTTGTTGTAAAGTGCTAAATGTGTTGTAAGGTGTTGAATTTGTTGTAAAGTGCTAAATGTGTTCTAAGGTGTTGAATTTGTTGTAAAGTGCTAAATGTGTTGTAAGGTGTTGAATGTGTTGTAAAGTGCTAAATTTGTTGTAAGGTGTTGAATGTGTTGTAAGGTGCTGAATGTGTTGTAAGGTGTTGAATTTGTTGTAAAGTGCTAAATGTGTTGAATTTGTTGTAAAGTGATAAATGTGTTGTAAGGTGTTGAATTAGTTTTAAAGTGCTAAATGTGTTGTAAGGTGCCGTAAGTGTTGTAAGATGTTGTAATGTATTGTATCTGTGGTAATGAATTGTTAGTGTGGTAATGTGTTGTATGGGGAGTAATCTGTTGTACTGGTCCAATGTAAGTCTATGGGAAAAAGTGCTTGAACTTTTGTTAATATCTGAAAAAGTGCTAAAGGTGGAAGTGTGAAAAGTAATAGCAATAATGAGACGGTGAAGCCGGTCGTAACGATGTATAATTTGTTGAATTTGGTGAAAGCGTTGAAGAGCTGAAAAGTGCCAAAATCTGGCGGAAGTGGAAGAAGAAGAAGAAGAAGAAGAAGAAGAAGAAGAAGAATAAACAGTAGGAGAGCATATAGTGGCTGCATAGTCTATGCAGCCACTCAACTAGAAATGGTACAATGGCTGAAGCCATTGTGAGTGGCTGCATAGATGTTGGAAGGGTTAGGGATGAAGAAGGAAGAGGAAGAAGGAAGAAGAAAGAAAAGGGAAGAAGAGGAAAGAAGAAGAAGGAAGAGGAGGAGGAAGAAGAAGGGGAAGAAGAAGAAGAGGAAGAAGGGGAAGAAGAGGAAGAAGGGGAAGAAGAGGAAAAAGGGGAAAAAGGGGAAGAAGGGGAAGAAGAGGAAAAAGGGGAAGAAGGGGAAGAAGAAGAAGAGGCAGAAGGGGAAGAAGAGGTAGAAGGGGAAGAAGAGGTAGAAGGGGAAGAAGAGGAAAAAGGGGAAGAAGAGGAAGAAGAGGAAGAAGGGGAAGAAGAGGAAGAAGAGTAAGAAGGGGAAGAACAGGAAGAAGAGGAAGAAGAGGAAGAAGGGGAAGAAGAGGAAGAAGAGGAAAAAGGGGAAGAAGAGGAAGAAGATGAAGAAGATGAAGAAGAGGAAGAAGAGGCAGAAGGGGAAGAAGAGGAAAAAGGGAAAGAAGAGGAAGAAGGGGAAGAACAGGAAGAAGAGGAAGAAGGGGAAGAAGAGGAAGAAGAGGAAGAAGGGGAAGAAGGGAAAGAAGAGGAAGAAGAGGAAGAAGTGAAGAGGAAGTAAGAAGAATGTGTTGTAAGGGACTGAAAGTGTTGTAAAGGGCTGAATGTGTTGTAAGGTGTTGAATGTGTTGTAAAGTGCTAAATATGTTGTAAAGTGCTTAATGTGTTGTAAGGTGCTGTAAGTGTTGTAAAGTGATGACTGTGTTGTAAGGTGTTGAATGTGTTGTAAAGTGCTAAATGTGTTGTAAAGTGCTAAATGTGTTGTAAGGTGTTGAATGTGTTGTAAAGTGCTAAATTTGTTGTGAGGTGTTGAATTTGTTGTAAGGTGTTGAATGTGTTGTAAGGTGCTGAATGTGTTGTAAGGTGTTGAATTTGTTGTAAAGTGCTAAATGTGTTGTAAGGTGCTGTAAGTGTTGCAAGATTTTGTAATGTATTGTATCTGTGGTGATGAATTGTTAGTGTGGTAATGTGTTGTAAGGGGAGAAATCTGTTGTACTGGTCCAATGTAAGTCTATGGGAAAAAGTGCTTGAACTTTTGTTAATATCTGAAAAAGTGCAAAAGGTGGAAGTGTGAAAAGTAATAGCAATAATGAGACGGTGAAGCCGGTCGTAACGATGTATAATTTGTTGAATTTGGTGAAAGTGTTGAAGAGTTGAAAAGTGCCAAAATCTGGCGGAAGTGGAAGAAGAAGAAGAACTAGAAATGGTACAATGGCTGAAGCCATTGTGAGTGGCTGCATAGATGTTGGAAGGGTTAGGGATGAAGAAGGAAGAGGAAGGGGAAGATGGAAGAAGAAAGAAAAGTGAAGAAGAGGAAAGAAGAAGAAGGAAGAGGAGGAGGAAGAAGAAGGAAGAAGAAGAAGAGGAAGAAGGGGAAGAACAGGAAGAAGGGGAAGAACAGGAAGAACAGGAAAAAGGGGAAGAAGAGGAAGAAGATGAAGAAGGGGAAGAAGAAGGGGAAGAAGAGGAAGAAGGGAAGAAGAGGAAGAAGGGGAAGAAGAAGAAGAGGAAGAAGGGGAAGAACAGGAAGAAGAGGAAGAAGGGGAAGAAGAGGAAGAAGGGAAGAAGAGGAAGAAGGGGAAGAAGGAGAAGAAGAGGAAGAAGGGGAAGAACAGGAAGAAGTGGAAGAACAGGAAGAACAGGAAGAAGAGGAAGAAGGGGAAGAAGAGGAAGAAGGGGAAGAAGAGGAAGAAGGGAAGAAGAGGAAGAAGGGGAAGAAGGAGAAGAAGAGGAAGAAGGGGAAGAACAGGAAGAAGTGGAAGAACAGGAAGAAGAGGAAGAAGGGGAAGAAGGGGGAGAAGAGGAAGAAGAGGAAGAAGGAGAAGAAGAGGAAGAACAGGAAGAAGAGGAAGAAGGGGAAGAAGAGGAAGAAGGGGAAGAAGAGGAAGAAGGGAAGAAGAGGAAGAAGGAGAAGAAGAGGAAGAAGGGGAAGAACAGGAAGAAGTGGAAGAACAGGAAGAAGAGGAAGAAGGGGAAGAAGGGGAAGAAGAGGAAGAAGAGGAAGAAGGAAAAGAAGAGGAAGAAGGGGAAGAACAGTGCTAAATGTGTTGTAAAGTGCTGAATGTGTTGTAAAGTGCTAAATGTGTTGTAAGGTGTTGAATTTGTGTTAAAGTGCTAAATGTGTTGTAAGGTGTTGAATTTGTTGTAAAGTGCTAAATGTGTTGAATTTGTGTTAAAGTGCTAAATGTGTTGTAAGGTGTTGAATGTGTTGTAAAGTGCTAAATGTGTTGTAAGGTGTTGAATTTGTTGTAAAGTGCTAAATGTGTTGTAAGGTGTTGAATTTGTTGTAAAGTGCTAAATGTGTTGTACGGTGTTGAATTTGTTGTAAAGTGCTAAATGTGTTGTAAAGTGTTGAATTTGTTGTAAAGTGCTAAATGTGTTGAATTTGTGTTAAAGTGCTAAATGTGTTGTAAGGTGTTGAATTTGTTGTAAGGTGCTGAATGTGTTGTAAGGTGTTGAATTTGTTGTAAAGTGCTAAATGTGTTGTAAGGTGTTGAATTTGTTGTAAAGTGCTAAATGTGTTGTAAGGTGTTGAATTTGTTGTAAAGTGCTAAATGTGTTGTAAGGTGCTGTAAGTGTTGTAAGATGTTGTAATGTATTGTATCTGTGGTAATGAATTGTTAGTGTGGTAATGTGTTGTATGGGGAGTAATCTGTTGTACTGGTCCAATGTAAGTCTATGGGAAAAAGTGCTTGAACTTTTGTTAATATCTGAAAAAGTGCTGAAGGTGGAAGTGTGAAAAGTAATAGCAATAATGAGACGGTGAAGCCGGTCGTAACGATGTATAATTTGTTGAATTTGGTGAAAGCGTTGAAGAGTTGAAAAGTGCCAAAATCTGGCGGAAGTGGAAGAAGAAGAAGAAGAAGAACTAGAAATGGTACAATGGCTGAAGCCATTGTGAGTGGCTGCATAGATGTTGGAAGGGTTAGGGATGAAGAAGGAAGAGGAAGGGGAAGAAGAAGGAAGAAGAAAGAAAAGGGAAGAAGAGGAAAGAAGAAGAAGGAAGAGAAGGAGGAAGAAGAAGAAGGGGAAGAAGGGGAAGAAGAAGGGGAAGAAGAGGAAGAAGGGGAAGAAGAGGAAGAACAGGAAGAAGAGGAAGAAGAGGAAGAAGAGGAAGAAGGGGAAGAAGAGGAAGAAGAGGAAGAAGAGGAAAAAGGGGAAGAAGAGGAAGAATAGAAAGAAGAGAAAGAAGGGGAAGAAGAGGAAGAAGTGAAGAAGATGAAGTAAGAAGAATGTGTTGTAAGGGGCTGAAAGTGTTGTAAAGTGCTGAAAGTGTTGTAAAGTGCTAAATGTGTTGTAAAGTGCTGAATGTGTTGTAAAGTGCTGAATGTGTTGTGAGGTGTTGAATTTGTTGTAAGGTGCTGAATGTGTTGTAAGGTGTTGAATTTGTTGTAAAGTGTTAAATGTGTTGTAAGGTGTTGAATGTGTTGTAAAGTGCTAAATGTGTTAGAATTTGTTGTAAAGTGCTAAATGTGTTGTAAAGTGTTAAATGTGTTGTAAGGTGTTGAATGTGTTGTAAAGTGCTAAATGTGTTAGAATTTGTTGTAAAGTGCTAAATGTGTTGTAAGGTGTTGAATGTGTTGTAAGGTGCTAAATGTGTTGTAAGGTGTTGAATTTGTTGTAAAGTGCTAAATGTGTTGAATTTGTTGTAAAGTGCTAAATGTGTTGTAAGGTGCTGTAAGTGTTGTAAGATGTTGTAATGTATTGTATCTGTGGTAATGAATTGTTAGTGTGGTAATGTGTTGTATGGGGAGTAATCTGTTGTACTGGTCCAATGTAAGTCTATGGGAAAAAGTGCTTGAACTTTTGTTAATATCTGAAAAAGTGCTAAAGGTGGAAGTGTGAAAAGTAATAGCAATAATGAGACGGTGAAGCCGGTCGTAACGATGTATAATTTGTTGAATTTGGTGAAAGCGTTGAAGAGTTGAAAAGTGCCAAAATCTGGCGGAAGTGGAAGAAGAAGAAGAAGAAGAACTAGAAATGGTACAATGGCTGAAGCCATTGTGAGTGGCTGCATAGATGTTGGAAGGGTTAGGGATGAAGAAGGAAGAAGAAGGAAGAAGAAAGAAAAGGGAAGAAGAGGAAAGACGAAGAAGGAAGAGGAGGGGAAGAAGAAGAAGGGGAAGAAGGAGAAGAAGAGGAAGAAGGGGAAGAAGAGGAAAAGGGGAAGAAGAGGAAGAAGAGGAAGAAGGGGAAGAAGAGGAAAAAGGGGAAGAAGAGCAAGAAGAGGAAAAAGGGGAAGAAGAGGAAGAAGAGGAAGAAGGGGAAGAAGAGGAAGAAGGGGAAGAAGAGGAAAAAGGGAAAGAAGAGGAAGAACAGGAAGAAGAGGAAGAAGGGGAAGAAGAGGAAGAAGAGGAAGAAGGGGAAGAAGAGGAAGAAGGGGAAGAACAGGAAGATGAGGAAGAAGAGGAAGAAGGGGAAGAAGGGAAAGAAGAGGAAGAAGGGGAAGAAGAGGAAGAAGTAAGAAGAATGTGTTGTAAGGGACTGAAAGTGTTGTAAAGTGCTAAATACGTTGTAAAGTGCTAAATGTGTTGAAAGGTGTTGAATTTGTTGTAAAGTGCTAAATGTGTTGTAAGGTGTTGAATTTGTTGTAAAGTGCTAAATGTGTTGTAAAGTGCTAAATGTGTTGTAAGGTATTGAATTTGTTTTAAGGTGTTGAATGTGTTGTAAAATGCTAAATGTGTTGAATTTGTTGTAAAGTGCTAAATGTGTTGTAAGGTGTTGAATGTGTTGTAAAGTGCTAAATGTTTTGTACAGTGTTGAATTTGTTGTAAGGTGCTGAATGTGTTGTAAGGTGTTGAATTTGTTGTAAAGTGCTAAATGTGTTGTAAGGTGTTGAATTTGTTGTAAAGTGCTAAATGTGTTCTAAGGTGTTGAATTTGTTGTAAAGTGCTAAATGTGTTGTAAGGTGTTGAATGTGTTGTAAAGTGCTAAATTTGTTGTAAGGTGTTGAATGTGTTGTAAGGTGCTGAATGTGTTGTAAGGTGTTGAATTTGTTGTAAAGTGCTAAATGTGTTGAATTTGTTGTAAAGTGATAAATGTGTTGTAAGGTGTTGAATTAGTTTTAAAGTGCTAAATGTGTTGTAAGGTGCCGTAAGTGTTGTAAGATGTTGTAATGTATTGTATCTGTGGTAATGAATTGTTAGTGTGGTAATGTGTTGTATGGGGAGTAATCTGTTGTACTGGTCCAATGTAAGTCTATGGGAAAAAGTGCTTGAACTTTTGTTAATATCTGAAAAAGTGCTAAAGGTGGAAGTGTGAAAAGTAATAGCAATAATGAGACGGTGAAGCCGGTCGTAACGATGTATAATTTGTTGAATTTGGTGAAAGCGTTGAAGAGCTGAAAAGTGCCAAAATCTGGCGGAAGTGAAGAAGAAGAAGAAGAAGAAGAAGAAGAAGAAGAAGAAGAAGAAGAAGAAGAATAAACAGTAGGAGAGCATATAGTGGCTGCATAGTCTATGCAGCCACTCAATAAACAGTAGGAGAGCATATAGTGGCTGCATAGTCTATGCAGCCACTCAATAAACAGTAGGAGAGCATATAGTGGCTGCATAGTCTATGCAGCCACTCAACTAGAAATGGTACAATGGCTGAAGCCATTGTGAGTGGCTGCATAGATGTTGGAAGGGTTAGGGATGAAGAAGGAAGAGGAAGGGGAAGAAGAAGGAAGAAGAAAGAAAAGGGAAGAAGAGGAAAGAAGAAGGAAGAGGAGGAGAAAGAAGGGGAAGAAGGGGAAGAAGAGGAAGAAGGGGAAGAAGGGGAAGAAGAGGAAGAAGGGGAAGAAGGGGAAGACGAGGAAGAAGAGGAAGAAGGGGAAGAAGGGGAAGAAGTGAAGAAGATGAAGTAAGAAGAATGTGTTGTAAGGGGCTGAAAGTGTTGTAAAGTGCTAAATGTGTTGTAAGGTGTTGTAAAGTGCTAAATGTGTTGTAAAGTGCTGAATGTGTTGTAAAGTGCGAAATGTGTTGTAAAGTGCTGAATGTGTTGTAAAGTGCTGAATGTGTTGTAAAGTGCTGAATGTGTTGTAAAGTGCTGAATGTGTTGTAAAGTGCTGAATGTGTTGTAAAGTGCTGAATGTGTTGTAAAGTGCTAAATGTGTTGTAAGGTGTTGAATTTGTTGTAAAGTGCTAAATGTGTTGTAAAGTGCTAAATGTGTTGTAAGGTGTTGAATTTGTTGTAAAGTGCTAAATGTGTTGTAAGGTATTGAATTTGTTGTAAAGTGCTAAATGTGTTGTAAGGTGTTGAATTTGTGTTGTAAAGTGTTGAATTTTTTGTTAAAGTGCTAAATGTGTTGTAAGGTGTTGAATGTGTTGTAAAGTGCTAAATGTGTTGTAAGATGTTGAATGTGTTGTAAGGTGCTAAATGTGTTGTAAGGTGTTGAATTTGTTGTAAGGTGTTGAATTTGTTGTAAGGTGTTGAATGTGTTGTAAAGTGCTAAATGTGTTGTAAGGTGTTGAATTTGTTGTAAGGTGCTGAATGTGTTGTAAGGTGTTGAATTTGTTGTAAAGTGCTAAATGTGTTGTAAGGTGTTGAATTTGTTGTAAGGTGCTGAATGTGTTGTAAGATGTTGTAATGTATTGTATCTGTGGTAATGAATTGTTAGTGTGGTAATGTGTTGTATGGGGAGTAATCTGTTGTACTGGTCCAATGTAAGTCTATGGGAAAAAGTGCTTGAACTTTTGTTAATATCTGAAAAAGTGCTAAAGGTGGAAGTGTGAAAAGTAATAGCAATAATGAGACGGTGAAGCCGGTCGTAACGATGTATAATTTGTTGAATTTGGTGAAAGCGTTGAAGAGTTGAAAAGTGCCAAAATCTGGCGGAAGTGGAAGAAGAAGAAGAAGAAGAACTAGAAATGGTACAATGGCTGAAGCCATTGTGAGTGGCTGCATAGATGTTGGAAGGGTTATGGGTGAAGAAGGAAGAGGAAGGGGAAGAAGAAGGAAGAAGAAGATAGAAAAGGGAAGAAGAGGAAAGAAGAAGAAGGGGAAGAAGGGGAAGAAGAAGAGGAAGAAGGGGAAAAAGGGGAAGAAGAGGAAGAAGGGGAAGAAGGGGAGAAGGGGAAG